TTGAATTATCGTTCGATGGCTGCCGTTGGGGAAGACCCACAGGGCCCACAGAATGGCTGCACAGACGATGCTGGATCGATGCCAGGACCGTTTTGCATGATCTACCAAAAACTCCTGCATGAAGTTAAAAGCGCTGCAGATGAGTTAATGTTACTGCTATGGTTGTGGTTATTGTTGTTGTCATAGTTATTGTCATATTACTACCAGCACTACTGGTAATGTTGTCGTAATTGTTGCTCTTGGGTCGCTCTTATTATTCTCATTTTGATTATTGGTATTTCGTTGTTTTCGACATTACTAGACGTATTACTACTATTAGTATTATTGTTTATTCTTGTCACAATATTCTTGTGTCGTTAGTAGTAGTGTACTAGTACTAGTAGTTGTCGCCGTCGTCGTGGTGGTAGTAGTCGTGGTAGAAACAGTAAAAGTATTCGTATTCTTACTGCTGTGGTTGTCGCTATCATTACCATTTCTACCCCATTGTCAATGTCTATTCTTATTCTTCACTTATTACTACAGTACTGATGCTGGTGTTATTGTTTCGGTTGTACTTCTTAGTGCTACTGCTGATATCAATACTGTCGTTGCTTCTATGACAGTCCTTGCTGTGATCCTTTTTCTATCAGATTACTCCCATTCGTACTATTACTGCTATTATGATGGTTGTTGCTATAATTACGAGTAGCAGTAGTAGTAGCAGTAGTAGTAGCAGTAGTAGTAGTAGTAGTAGTAGTAGTAGTAGTAGTAGTGGTAGTAGTAGTAGTAGTCGTCGTCGTCGTCGTCGTCGTACTAGTAGTAGTAGTTGAAAGTAGTAGTAGTAGTAGTAGTAGTAGTAGTAGTAGTAGTAGTAGCAGTTATAGTTATAGTGGTAGTAAAAACATAAGCAGAAACAAGTGCCATTAGTGTTATCGCCAGTACTGCCACTTCTCATTTTATTGATTGTGACTGATGCGTTTATTTACGCCCACTGTTATTAGGATTATGGGTTGCCGAACCTTCAAGCAGGACATCTGCTCCAGCCAAGCCCGATGTGTTCAAACGTTTCCCAACATGTCCTTGCCGGAAACCAAAATGTTGGTTGCCTGTCCTTTAGAGGCTGCTTATAAGCCTTAAAGGTTCTATCAGGGCTTTGATATTAAGGGCTTTAGGTTCTTTTGCAGCCTAGAATCAAGTCTTCGGGTACATCATAGTATGCCTATACCGGGACAAGGTGATAGTATTGATGCAAGTTCTGACACCCTTGTATCCGGAGGTATCCTGACTCTGACCCACTCTCCCGCTCAGAAGCTTAAGCGATCCCGACCGAACGTCAGTGTTTAGGGTTAATGAAACTCCTAAACCCCGAACTCTAAACCCACGGACCTAACTTACCATCTAGCCCGATCAATCCTACCCAACCGTGACCAACACCAAACTCAATCTTATGATCCAAACCTTGCTCAGCCATGACTGTCAACTCTCCTTGCTACCATTACTATCGGTACCGTTCGCACAGCTGTTGCGACGGCATCTTAGCATTGCTACCCAGTAAAACCCCCAAAGAACCTTCTTGGTATGACTACTTCAACCTCAAGCCAAAGCCCCTAAACCCTGGAAGCCCTACAGGAACCCAGCAAGGAACCCTTGAAGAAACCCCTATACTACACTGAACTTAGAACCCTAGCAAAAATTATAATTCTAGCTGTTTCTTAGGGATTAAAATAACCAAAAATTTAAAACTATTTCTAATTACCCCTAAGTATAGGAACCCTCAACCTTGCTCTGGGGCTGGTGCGAAACCAGAGCAGGCGCGTGCAAGCCGCTGTCTCGCACTATACCTGACAAAAAGCGTTTAGGGGCTAGAGCCAGGGTTTTCGGTTTGGGAGTTTGGGCTTTGAAGTCTCGTGTTTGGAATTTGATTGAGGGGCTGTTTCTGTTGTCGATACTATGACTCTTCATTTTTTTAGGTCTGGTCTTACGATACTCACTATCGCTGATTACCTTACAGTTCTTACACATCTTACAGCTGTTAAAGATATTGCGACAACTACAGTAGCTACTGCAACGACCACAAGCCTTTAAGTTCTTCCGGTTCTAGCATGCCCATTGCTACCATAGTTTCGCCGGCAAACCGCACCATTGTTGCCGGACGAAAAGGAGCAGCATCATTCATACCTGTACTCTCATTCCATTTGTCACAGCTCTACTTTACTATTACCAGTATTCCTGCCTTTGCTAGTGTAGTTCTGTTTGAAACTAGTATTTATGGCCATGCGCTCCCGTACCGCAATGGCTATGACTCTGACCCATCACATCTTCACTAACTGGCATTGCTGAAACCCGTTATGCAGTTTTTTCCTACTACTGCTACGCGCGATCGCCTTTGCCACGAATGTAGTTGCTACGGTATTGGTGATAGCATTGCCACTATCCGTCCGTGAGTACTGATCGAGACAACCTATCATTGGCATGGTGATTGCCAACGCTACTGTATCATAACGCTGTTACTCATATCTACAGGAACTGATTGTCTTACTATCGTCACGATCAATGCCATCGCAGTATTTCAAAATGTTACGTTACATTAAAATCCTTCTGTTGCTGCGGTTGCTGCAGCAGTAGTAGCAGTCGATGCCGTTGTTCGAGGAGCGGTGAAGAGTGGGAGTGGGAGAGGGAGTGCTACTGCTACTACTACTACTACTGCTACTACTACTTCTGCTACTGCTACTGCTACTGCTACTGCCTTCCTATGACACTACTAGTTTTTTTCTACTACTGCTGCTCCTCGGCCGCGCCGGGGAGCGCACACTTGTTCACAACAACGATGGTAAGGCCCGACATCACGTAGGCCATGATGGCAAGGAAAGACATAAAGCGCCTGAGTGAGGAAGGGCAGCCAAGAGTTTCAGCACAGACTCAAACAGTCGCTTTAGGCCGAACATGACTATAATGAGCAAACCATGGAAACCCCATGATCTACGAGATTTTCCCAGTATGGTAACTTAAATTGGAGTTCCGAAACAGCAACCCAGTTCGAGAGCGCTGCCTTCGCACTTGGTTGACAGGTTGTTGAGTCTTTGCAGTGATCGGTGAGGACCTGGCTGATTCTCATCATGACATCTGGTCACAGAAGCCACAAACCCTGGACCTGATACTAATAGCCGGACCCCATCGAATCAACCCTTTGTAGTACCGTACAGGTTCTGGCAAAAGCTGCTCTAGGTCTCCGCCAAGGGTCGGTCAGCGGAATGCCGGTATAAAATATCATGGGTTTGGGGCTTAGGGTTTAGGCCCGGGTTTGAGAACCTAGGGTTTTGGGTTTTGGTTATGTACGGATGCCACAGCAAGTGCAGAGTTGCTTGTTTGGGAGTCGGTATTTGGGCTCCTTTTTTGTAAAGTGGGGTAGGGACCCGGCCCTGTGAAGCGGATATGCAAACAACATCGCGAAAGAGAAAGCAGACATCCAAACAAAAACACACGAAGTCTGGGAAACTATCGCAAATTTCGCTTACTCCAGGCAAACCAATGCCTCGCGCCATCCTGCAACACTGCCGAGATCACTACCCACAGCCATGACTTCCGCGCATTGTCCTGCAACAGACCTGCTCATCCCCAGCAGAACGCCTGCTAGCACGTACGGAGCACACGCCTTACTCAAACCGCACGCGCCCCACCATCGCCGTTTCTCTTGAGATTCCTACGGCTGGAAAACATGATCGTACAACCAGTCTTCCCAAGATCCACGCGCTGTACCATGCGTACCACAAGTGGCATGAGTGCAAAGATAAGAACGACTTGCCAACATGTTGAGCAAACAAGGGGGTTGCAGGGATGCTTAAGTTGGACCGCTAGGGCTAGCGCTTCACGAGCAATACATCATAGCGCAAACATGCTACGGAATCCAGCCAGCTTTGTGGCATGTTGGGATCATCAGAAAGAGAGATAGAAAGAAGGCTTGTTTTAGGCGGAACGGTGGCTTAAGCCCACTTATCATAACACGCGAGCCTCCAAGTAGGCTGAGTAAGCGCATGTGTACTACCCCCCTCCACACCTCTCTGCTGCTTGTGCTCCATAGACCTTTCTCCATGCGGTAGAATGCCTCCATATCCCCAAGCCCCCTAATCGGAGCTATAACTATAGTTACCCTGCTTATAACTCCACTTATAACTACCCATGAACCTCCAAGTACTCGCATATTGAACCCCCACAGGATGATGCCACAGGCGACCCTGATCACGACCGCGAATCGGCTTCGAAAGAAGCAATGTAATGCAAACACACTGTCACAAGATGACTCCCTGAACCATAAACCCCAAACCTCTGTTTTCCGGATCTTTAAAAACACCTAACTGGCTCATGCGGGAAATGCCGCAACTTGACAAACTACTCCACAGTTTCCACCTAGACCTAGTAAGTTGGGATCTCGGTCTGTTCAGTGCAGTACGACAGCTCTCGTCGCCGGGCATGGGTAGTTTTAATCCGTTTGGTACATGTCCCTCCCTCAAACGATTTCATGCTTCGACGCTAGCGCGGCTCCACACTGGCATGCAGCCCCTGGAAGCAGCCAGGGATTTATTCTGTCCCTGCCTGCCTCTGCGTTGCTAGGTTTTGTATGAGCTGGGGGTGCTCTCGAATTCGAAGGCAATGCGTTGCACCTTGCGCTGGCCAGCACGGCTCTGGCGCTCCATGAAACTCGGTGCGGCCCACAAGGACGACCCCTGTGTCGGAAACGCTAGGGTGAGACTAACAAGAGTGAAACTCTGTAAATTGCGGCATCATTACGAACATCGGACCGACCTGAACTCTTCACAACTGCATGCCACCACAATCCTGCACAGGCCCGCCAAGATGAACGGCACCATTAACACCTTCTGTCCCCCAGTCTCCTTTAGGATTCACGATTGATACACCATCAAAAGCGAACCCATAAAACCAACAGCAGGACAAAAATCTTGGAACCGTATAGAACCAACCAGGCCTCTATAGGCTTCCAAAGATACTCATGGAATCACGGTGTTTCAGTCCGATGGCGATGCCTTAGCCTGGCAAAGGTCTTGGGCTAGTATCGGATGTTTACGGAGGGTTCCGGATGTTATTTCAGGAATATGCTTGAAATGGAAACAGGCTGCATAACGTGATATGAAGTGCCTTCCTTAATTGAGTGGTACTGGGGTCTCTGGATGCGGGCCCACGATTGATGAGGTAAGGGATGAGGGAAAACTAACACGGCAGCACGACCTATTAATTACTTTGGGGTTTACGCCTTCAGGGGTCTGCTGCTACTCGCAATTTTGCTACTGCGACAAGATCCCTGCAACCCCCGAAAGCTGATGCTTTGATTGAAGCCCGGAAACCCTAGACCCTCAACCTCCAACATCCCCCAACCCACAACCCTAAACGCTCAACCCCGCTCAACCCTAAACCCCGAACCCTAAACCTGTAACCCCTGGAGGAATGAGACCCCCAAAGGAAGCCTTTCAAGGACCCCTTACAGGAACCCCCTAAAACCCGAAGGAACCTCGAGATCAGGGCGAGGCATCTTCTGCCCTTTGCTTCTGCGCACCTTTCAGCCGCGGAGTGCGTGGCTCAGGGCTTCGAGGATCCGAAGATGTAGGGCAGGGTTCGGTAACGGTTTAGAGTTCAAAGCTTAGGGTTCAGGGTTTGAGTTTACGGTTCAAGCTTTGTTGTTTTTTGAACGCCGCCTTGAATCTGCGAGCAAGTAACTAACGTCCAGAATCCACTCTAGTGGAAGGCCATTGGCAAGCAATTAAACCAAACATCACCCTGACACCGCAAGTGTCTCGCCACCTTCCGACTCCGCCGTCCGAGCTACAGTCACATCACCATCAGCAACCGTGATCACCGAAGGTCCCTGAAAAGAAATGGGCGGCCCCGATGCCAAACTCGGGCCCCCAGAGATGGCACATCCCAGTCGACCATCATCAAGAAGAAGCCGGAAGACTCGGAACCATTCCTCTCCATAGACATTTTGAACCACGACATCCGCTATGAGCCCTCGCATCCCCTGCCAGCACACCGAGCGAACCCCCGAAAACGGCACGGAAGCGGGTCATCCAGGGGTTCGCCACTGGAGCAACGGAGTGAACCAAGTGGGACCAAAGCTTTTGACAACGTTGGCATCGGTACGAACGCCAGACTTCCACTGGCCATACATATGAACTCGAAAAGGGGGCCAAAGCGAGGCTTCGGTTGCCCCCCCAAACCCCACACCCCTCACACCCTGGGCGCACCGGCACAAGATCTAAGATCGTTCCCGCCTCAGGTACTTCATGAACCGTAACCGTAAGAGCGGAGTCGCGACACACCACCCACTGCGCCTCCAGGGTCTCTGCCGGATTTTGCTTGACATCGGCCAAACAAAAGGCCCCCCGAAGCTCATGTGTGGTAGAAGGTCGGGTGGGCTACAGCCAGGCTGGAGTTCACACACTTCAACGCTTGCCGCTGATCCGTGCAATCTCTGGTGAGAGTCCCGCCACTTGTTCTGGCGGGAGCCCGGCACATACCTGTACCGCGAGGATCTTGGCCGGCCTTTGTCGTGTTTCTTCGACTGCCCAGCTGGCTTCCAGCGATTCTGGATGCCGCCACCGGCCCCTCCGACCGAAGATCCCTCGGCAACCGCAACAGCCCAGGAGGGGAGCTTGCGTGCCAGCTCCGAGCTGCGGGAAGCCACCCACAGCCCAAGTGAACATTCTGGACCTTTCAATGTCGGCAGACTAGTCTTTCTTGGGCCAGGCTCGGGGTTTAGGGTACAGGGTTTCGGGTTGAGGATTTAGGGTTCAGGGTTTGGGGTTCAAGGTCTAGAGTTGAGGGTTTGGTGTTCAGGGCTAGGGTTCGGGGCTTACGGTTTAAGGTTTCTATGAAGATTTCCATAAGGTTCTGCACGACACCCGGTTCAGAGACGGTGAAGGAGCCTGCGTTGAGGAGCCAGGGCTTCTCGGGGCTTGGGGGTTGAGGTTTTGGGCTGTTGGAGTGCAGGGTCAGGGTCTTAAAGGCTCCGTCCCTCTTTGACCCAACGCCTTGCCTCCAAAGCCCTTTCGGCACCTCAGTGAAAAGGAAGCCAGCGGGGTGTTGTTCCTGTTTGAGAGTAACACAGGGGCCTTAATGATTAGAATAAGGTTTTGGGGCCCAGTATACTATAACTATAATAAGGATCCCACCCAAATAGTATAGGTAATTATTGAGGCCCCTATACTAACATTGATGCTGTTTGCTCTCGACATCGCTCGGAACCCTAAACCCTGCACCCTAAACCCTCATGGTCGGTTTCTGGAGCCCTTCCGCGGGATGGCACGAGAGGGACCTGCGCAATGCCCAAAGACTAGTACTGCTCTTGGGGCACATTCGAAAGCTTTGAAAGCCCCACCCCCCCCTAACTAGGATTTAGGATCATTCGTGGGAGACCCATGACGAAGCCAGGACGCTTCAGGAAGCTGATGGAGTCTGTCATAGACGAGTAGCTGTCAAAATTATGGTCCCCTTTTGGTTACCCTAAATAATAGGTGCCGTATTATAATAGGGACCCCAAAAAGCGACCATAGTTTTGACAACCACCCTTATGGTTTTGGGGCCCCTGGTTTTGATTCTCTCGAGGCTTACCTGAAAGCCGCAAACCGTGGAGTCCCGAAGCGCTCATGCAGCAGCCGTAATAAGTAGACTTGGGTGTGAGCGGTATGTGATTGGTTTAGGGCTTAGGGTATGATTATACTTGGACCACAAGGGCTCGTACCGGGATACTGTTACTCATTTTCACCGACCCCTACCCCCAAATTATATACTTGAATCACCATTGAGCTGAGATGCTGGACTGCTCCGACGGCCTGCGTGCGGACTCTTCAGGAAAACAGAGAACAGGCTGGGTCCAGGCATAAGTAGGGTTGAGGTCTAGGTTGTTTAGGGTTGAGGGGTGAACTTTTACTGGGTTCAGCGAACCAGAACCCTTCAAAAACAAGCGCACCCAGATTGGAAAGGACTCCTAAACCTGAACCCCAACCCCGTACAAGCTAAACCCTCAGGGGCCCAATATGGGCGGGTAGTGTGTGTCTGTATGTATATATATATACATACATATATACATATATACATATATATATATATATATTTATTTACTTATTTACTTATTTATTTATCTATATTTATAACAAAAAACTTATATTTATATTGATATATTTACTTGCTTATTTCGTATAAACATATATGTGTTCATATATGTGCATGTATATATATATATATGTTTACAGATATTCTATTTATGTCTCGACCCTCAGCTCTGGAAGATCCACTGAAAATAGCCATGAAATACTTGGCTCAAGCCGAAGGCTGCAGTTTGGAATACACGGTGCATCTACTGCTTGCTCTGCCCAAGCCACTAACCTACCGCAATGCAATGCAATGCAAAATCTCAAGCTTCCGCACTTCTACACCTACAACCCCCCGCGACCAAACAAAAAATCAGCAATCTCAAGCCCTGAACCCCAAACCCTGAACCCTAAACCCTGAACCCCAAACCCCAAAACCCTTCACCCACAACTTCTCAAACCCCAAGGCCCCCCGAAGCCCCAAGTCCTCGAAAGAAGCCCCAAATGAAACCGCTCCGTAGTATCCGTAGTAGTACTGGTAGTGGTAGTAGTAGTGGTAGTAGTAGTAGTAGTAGTAGCAGTAGCAGTAGTAGTAGTAGTAGTAGTAGTAGTAGTAGTAGTAGTAGTTATTAGTCGTCGTAGGGGTTGTAACTCGGCCTCGGCAGTCCTGGTGGCAGCTCGGCACTTCCCAAGGAGTCAGAGCTCAAAGACTCGGTGACGTCGGGTTGACCTGCTCAGGGGCTCGTTTCCTTCGGCGTTTGTACTCTAGGGGCCCTAATAATCCGAACAGGGTCTTGGGGCCCGTTATACTACACTTTTGATAGAGAGCCCCAAAGTAGCATTGGTATTTATTTAGGCCCCTATAGTAGGTCTATTTCTGGCGTTCTGTAGGTCTTTGAAGCACGACGACGGTTTTTAAAAGGGTTGCTCTCATGTCTCCGGGGTTTAGGGTTTAGGGTTTAGGGTTTAGGGTTCAAGGTTTCCAATGCAATCGGTGTCTTTTCGAGTCTGTTCTCGATTCTTCTTCCGGTGTTGCTTGAGTTGGTGCGAGTAGACTTGGGTTTCACGATCAAAGCGGCTTGATTTCTGCTGCTCAAGCCTAACCCTAGGACACGAAACAAAAGTTCTTCTAACAAGCTTCACTGTACACCTGAATTAAGGATCCTTTAAGGGTTCCTTAAAGGGATCTACTAGGGTTCTATAAGGGTTTAGGGTTTAGAGTTTCCACGCAAGGCCCCCCACCCCCCAACTCCGACCCCATCGCGAGGGTTTCCCGGTATCAATCTCCCGGCAGGCTGCAAGGCTAAGGGTTTAGGGTTAAGGGTTTAGGGTTTAGGGTTAAGGGTTTAGGGTGTATGGTTTAGGGTTAAGGGTTTAGGGTATAGGGTATAGGGTTTAGGGTTAAGGGTTTAGGGTATAGGGTATAGGGTTTAGGGTTAAGGGTTTAGGTTTAGGGTTTAAGCCTGAACCTTAAGGCCTTGGAAAATCAAAAAACGAGATTCGAGTGCATCGTGCCCAAGCTAAGGCCTGACATATTCCGATGTGGAGTGCAGGAGATGTGTTTTCGTACTTTCGGCATTCTCCGGTGCGTTCAGTCGTGGGTGATTTCGCGGAGGCTTACACGTTTAGGGTCAAGCGTGTGCTTGGAGCTTCCCAGTTGCGGGTCCTTACGCCATACGACCCAGCATGGAGAGTAGTAGGATGCGCGCCAGCATAGTCTGAGTAGAAAAGTGGAAAGACTACTTAATGTGAGATCAGGTCAGATAAGATAAGACACAGGCCGAATGATATCAGCGATAAGATAAGGCAAAACGAGACAAGACAAGACAGGACAAGACACTCTCTACTATCAAGTCTGGCGTTTTGTTCGTACTTCTGTTCGATTAAGCCGCGTGCTCCTTTCGGTTAATCTCCTCGCTTGTGTGTAATTGTAACAAAAAGGGGAACGAAGTGAGTGAGAGGAAACAAGGAACCGTGAACAAACGAGGAACCAGAAATCCAGTACTAAATTCCCTGGGGGCTGTATGTACTGATAAAGAAAGAACACCTTCTCCGTTTGTCCGACTTCCTTAAGTTACCACTGTGAGAATCCCAGAACTTGTATTCAGGACTCAAGAGCGACAAGATGTCCAAGGTTGGTAGAAACACAAAGATAACAGGTACCAGGTGATAGACTTTCTACAACGCAAACTGGCCTACAATATGGACCTTAGGTGAACACAGTGTCCAGTTCATGTTCAATACCGCGGTTTACTTCCCTTCAGTTCAAAATAGTTCTTTGTTCTCTCCTTTCAGGATAGAAAAGAAGGCTTCCTTATTCATTCTGACATTCGCTCGTGCATGCGATCATGTCTTCTTTTGAATCATTTCAATCATTCCAGTCACCTCAGTCGTCTCATTCATGTCATTCGTTTCGGTCATTGCAGTTATTTCATTCGTTTCGCGAATTTCAATCGATTCGTTCGTTCCATTCACTCTCATTCATTTCACTCAGTTCATGTCGCTCAGTCATTCTCACTCATTCACTCACTCATTTCGCTAGATCTTTCATTCAGTTCATTACTTCCTTGATTTACTTATACATCTGCTTGTTGCTCCAGGCTTGTACTTACGTGTTGTCATCGGTCGTTCGTCTGTCCATAATGAATCCTCTATATTCATTGACCCTTTATATGCATAATATATTTCCCATGCTAATTATGGCAAAATCGACTGGAGATCATATGTTATACAACACTATACTGCTAATTATACCATAAGAGTCAAGGCCAAACCTGTCGGGTGCAGGTCCGACACCGCTGAGAGCGCAGGCGAAGCGACGGCAGCGTCCGCGAGCACCGGCGCGGGAGCCGTGGGCAACGTTACGCAGGGCATGGATGAGGAAGGTGCCATCCTGGGCTCTGGTTAAGGAGGGTTTGGGGTTTATTTCGGGTTTAGGGTTTATTTAGGGTTTAGGGTTTATTTAGGGTTTAGGGTTTAGGTAGTTTGAGATACCATAATCAGGAATACCTGAGTTTCTTTCATGAATCCATAGGCTTTAGGGCTTAGGGCTCTTGTCAAGGACGGTATTTTAATTTACCATAAATAAAGATACCATATAAAGAAACCAAATCTTTACTAACTATAGATCCCCATTATGGTCACTTAACTTTCAGCTCCTGAAGAAGAACCCAGCATCGGCGGCATAGATGCAAGAGAAAAAGCAGCTGGTGACAAAGCTGCCGATGGCATGGCCACAGGTGGCAAAGCTCCGGGAGGCACAGATGCACGCTGCAAAGCAGCGGCTGCCAGCGTCGGAGCCTGCGGCCTCAGGGAACACCGGGCTCTGGCACCCGCTTCTGTGAAACCTCACCACCACTGGGCCCCTTGCTGGAAGTGCGCGAGCGCTGCCTTAGGAAGAGGCGTGAATTGAAATTGGGAGCAAAGCGCGAAAGCTAAAGCTGCTGAAAGTTTTTAGCCAAGAGGCTTGTGTCCTCATGATAGCATCTATGCCTCGACCGGTGGGACATGTGGGCCAGTGGAGACCTCTACACCTTACGGCAATGCAGCCTTGAAGCAGAGAAATCAGAGGGTAGGGAGTGCAGGTGCAAAAAAAGTGTCCCAGCCGCAAGAATGTCCTGGACTCCTCAACTTCCTAACTTCGTGAATCCACCAAGGTGGAGAAACCCCTTCAACACCGTTAGTCTTGATATTGCCAGCATTCCGGCCAGTAGTATCTGTGCTCTCCCGTATTCTTACAGTTGCTATTAAAGCACTCAGATTCACCCAGACAAAATTAAAAATCATTTCTGATGTGCCACGGTTGTTGTTTCTACTGCTCGTGTGCTTACTTTGTTCTACGACCACTACCCTTGTTGCTTTGGTTGCTTTGCTATGACTGCTGTGACCGTTCAGTAGCAGCAGAAGCACTCTTGCCATTGCTATGTCGGGTTTCAACGTTGCTATACTTGCTATCGCTACTTCTACTGCAACTGCTACTTCAAACTGCATCTGCTACTGCTACTGCAACTGCTCCTGCTCCTGCCCCTGCCACGGCTGCCGCTCCTCCTCCTCCTCCGCCTCCTCCTCACTGCCACTACGAATTTTCATATATGAATTCTACTACTCCTACTTCTTCTAGTAGTAGTAGTTGTAGTAGTAGTAGCAGTTGTAGTAGTAGTAGTACTACTTCTACTTCTACTTCTACTTCTACTACTACTACTACTACTACTACTACTACTACTACTACTACTACTGCTGCTGCTGCTGCTGCTGCTGCTGCTGCTGCTGCTGCTCCTCCTACACCTGCTGCTGCTGCTCCGCATCCTTCTCCTCCTGCTCCCTGCTGCTGCTGCTCCTGCTGATGCCTTCTCCTCGTGCTACAAAACGCCACCACCACCACCGCCGCCACAACCACCACCACTACCACAACCACTACCACTACCACCACTACCACCACTACCACCACTACCACCACTACCACCACTACCACCACTACCACTACTACCACTGCTGCCACCATTACCACCACCTCCACTACTACCACTACTACCCCTACCACCACTACTGCCACGATTACCACCACTGCCACCACCACCACTACTACCACGACCGCTACCGCTACCACTACCACTACCACTACCACTACCACTACGACTACTACTACTACTACTACTACTACTACCACTACTACCACTACTACCACTACTACCACTACTACTGCCACCTACGACAACGACTATGTAAGCACACACATGTGGTGATGCACATGCCGGTAAAGCCAGTGCGAACATGCATGATAACACTTGTCATGGCACGGTTTAGGGTTTAGGGTTGAGGGGTTTCGGTTTAGAAGTTGTTCAACCAGGTCGCAGCTCTTTGAGGAATCGAAAGCCTTTTGCTGCCTCGGCAGAGATGTCCAGTTAAGCACTGGTTCCTAGGACCCAGCTTTGACACTAACTTCGGATATTGGTCATTGACACATTATGCACTCCCACTGCCTGCATCGACAACCAATTCGAGATCTTTTGGGATCGTTCTGGCAGAAGTTTGCCGGGCGGCTCTGGTGACGAGTGGCAGCAACAACAACAACAACAACAACAGCAGGGGGCTTGGTGTTTGACGGCAGCCTTCGGGCTCGCTAAGCAAACTTCGAAGATCGGATGCTGTAGCCTCTCACGGATCTCCGAGCCCTGCAATCCGCTAATCCTGGCTTTGGCTCGGTCGAAAAAGACAACTGGCCTGGGAATACTGCCTTCTGGCTCGGTGTGGTGCGACAGTTTCGGAAACCATCATGGATCATTCAACCTGTCTTGCAGCTGTGCAACGCCTGGCGTGCACGTTGCACAGCAGCAACGTCAGTCGGACGCTGTGCCTCCTGGCACACGTCGCTGTTACATGCTGCTTCCAGGCACGAGCCGCTCTCAAGTAACATTCTAAGTAGCACTCGTAGGCCTAACTGATAACGGTAACCACATGTTGGAGGTATGGTTTATGGTAGTCTTATTGTGGTACCCTTGTTCTGATAACCCTGTTTTTGTGCGTGGATGGTTCATGGCAAGGCCTCTTCCCGCGCGATTTGTACGGCCGCTTCGTTGGCAGCAAGCATGTCGCGATAAGCAGCTTCGCCTGCGAAATTAGGGTTTACGGGTGTAAGGTTTGCGGTTTTTGGCGTTTTGGGGTTTAGGGTTTAGGGGGCGTGACCTGCGTTTTGCCTAAACGGGGCTACTATCATAGAGTTGCTGTGGTAAAACACACACTAGGAGGTTGCGGGTTACTGTTATGGTGCCGGGTTCCCAACATGCTTGTCCAGGCCTGATTTGGCGACGTGCCACCAATGCATGGCCAGGTTATTCGTTTCCACAACCAGATCTCGCCATTGTTGCCTGGGGGCCGGTGCAAGGTTCCTTAAAAACGAAACCCCAAAATTACCCTGAGCCTTCGACCCGGAACATGAGAAGATGCGCAATGCCAGGGCAGTGAACCGAAACCCTGAACCCTAACCCCTGAACCCCACACCCTGAATCCGGAACCCTAAACCCTGAAGCCTGACCCCCGAACCCTAAACCCTACTTGGAGGTTCATGGGTAGCTATAAGTGGGCTTATACGTCCCCCAGCAGGAGTTATTACTTTAGGAACCCTACTTATAACCCCACTTCAGAATCCTAAACCCTATACCCTTATAGAATCCCTATAGATCCCTTTAAAGGGGCCCTTAAAAGGAAGCCTTATAAGAACCCTAGATCCGCACATGCAGCGGCTGAGGTCCGAGCGGCTTGGGCGAGGGAGGCAAGGGCCGGGATGAAGCGTCCTGCACCTGGGGCGGAAAAAAGGTGCAAACTTAACAACCAAGTTTAGGGTCTAGGGCTTAGGGGGTTTAGGGGGGTTTGGGACTTTAGGGCTTAGGCTTTAGGGGCTGTAAGAACTTGAACCTGATTTCAAGGTTCTGCAGCGATGTTCAAGGCTTATATACGGGTTACTACGAGGTTTACTCGAAGCGTCTAAGGGAACCATGCGGTTTACCGTGAGGGATACTAACGGGACCATCAGGGCTACTGACATAAATCGACAGATCGGCGGATAGAGGTGCGCAACAAACCCTTCACTTCCAAGACCCGGCAATGCCCAAACTTAGGGTTTGTTTTGGGTTTACGGACCACTTCAAAAAAGACCTCAACCGATCACGTGTGTCAATCCAGACTGTGGTTTCGTGTCAAGGTTTTTTCAGATTCGTTTCTTCAGCCATAGTCCCGAAATCCCCCCGCCATAACATCGTTGAGTGCTCGTGCTCCTCCAAAATTCTGTCGCAATTCTACACGGACCCTGAAGGTATACTATTCATAATCATTCAGACTCCCCTAAACCCAAAACCCCAAACCCCATACCCGGCACCCTATATCCTTCGTATCCCGTAGACCTTTGGCAACCCTCATTTTAACAAGCCTAAACCCTTACACCCTACATAATCCCTATACTATCGACATTAAGTGCTGTGCCTGTCCTTGGGCATCGGAAGGGGCTCTCGCGCTGGAACGCTGGGCTCCTGCCGTTCATGTGTCTCTTTCTAGGGTTTAGGGGGTTTTGGACATAGGTTTTGGGGTGAGGGCTTGGGATTTGGGGGTTTTCGGGGTTTGGGGGTTTCAGGGTCTGGGGTCTTGGGGTTTTGGATTTAAGTTTAAAGGTTTTTGGGGTTTCGGGTTGAGTGTATAGGGAGTTGGGGAATTTCGAGGGCCCCTGGCTCCTCGCATGGACGGGTCTGAGAACAAGAAGAGATCCTAGCATAGCCCTGTACAGATGCCGAGTACCACCCAAATAACATTAAAAATCATACCACCCAGAAAAAACTTCAAAAAGGTCATATGTCCAATGTGAGGTATCCTTCCTGCAAAAAACCGTGGAAGTCGTTCGGCTTGAGAGTGTCTGCATGCGGTATTGGTCGAGGGAAAGGGTCAAGATAGGGGCCTTCATATCTAGAACAGGGTCTTGGGGTCCATTCTAGTATAACGTTAGTAAGGAGCCTGAAGGAATATCAGCAAAAACTCTTCCTTCCGGCCCCTCCGATAGACCTAAAACCCATCCTATACCCCTATATCCTAAACCCCTACACACAAAACCCTCCTAAACGCCCCACGCTCCCCACAATTTTTCCCTTTTCCCCCCAAAAGACAACCCAAAAAGCCGAGACCTGAACCGGAAGCAGCGAGTCCAGCTCCACGTTCTGGATGGTGGGCTCCTCAAATCTGCCCAAGTATATACCGTGACATACTAGAATATACGATACGATACCGTACCATATTACACTCCGCTGTACTACTACACTTTAACACACTACACACTCTAATGTACTGTCATCGACTATAACACGATAGCTCGCTTGGCATCAAGACAACGACCTTCCGTTTGGAACTTGCGGGGACTGTTCTGAGTTGGGCTCCTCTTAAGATACCCTCCACAACACGAAGAAGCTACCCTAAACACCTATGCCGAACACTTCGAGTGTCTGAGGTGAAACAAACGATCGGCGGGGGAAGAGAGTTTGGAGGCAGGCGTCCCGCATTAGGGTATACCAGAATGCATGCCAAAGTACCACCGTATGCCAACCCTGGACCCCTAAACCCTAGGCCCAAAACACTGTCCCGCTCGGGAGGGCTGGTCGGCGGCTCCCACTCCTTTCAAGTTAAGATGGAGGCCTTAATAATTAGAGCTGGGTGATGGTGTATACTGTATACGGTACTATAGTTACAATGAGAAGGGTCCTACATACTGACCTTGATGATTCGAATGGGGTCTTTGAGTTTATTGTAGGACAATAAGGAACGGGAACGAGTTGTACTGTGCTGGTAGTTGTTCAGGCTTCTGCAATAGATGCTCAAGGGATTCGGACTCAAGGGTTTAACGGGTTGAGGGCAGAGGGCTTTAAGCTTTAGGGTCTTGGGCTGTAGGTGTGGGCAAGGTCTTGAGTGCAGTCTGCCAGACTTTATTTCATTTCACCGTCGCGAACATGCTGTATGCTGAAGAGGCTAATGTAAGAGCCTTAATAATTAGAATAGAGTTTTGGGGGTTCCCTAATTATAAATATGGTATAACTTCATAACATACCCCCGAACCCTGTTCTAATCACTAAGGCCCCTACATTAAAAATCTTCAGGGCCAGAATATTGACTCGATGATCTGCTGCGGCCTCTGCGGCGGCTGCTGCTACTACTGGTCTAGGGTTTAGGGTTTAGGGCTACTACTGCGGCGACTACGATCACCACCACATCTAGCAATGCAGCCAGCTATCACTACTGCCAGCATGCAGTTCACTGTAGACTGTGCTGGAGTCGCTTTCGTTGGTGCAGTAGCAGTTTCACCGTCTCTGAGAGTGTCTTATGCTCTGAGGAATTGTATAGTATCGTGCTTGCTTATCTGACATTGCATTTGTATTTAAACTTATTATTAAACCCTCGTATATTTTATGTTCGTTGTACTACTCGTACCAGGCACTGTGCTGCACTCCCTTGCATCATGCTGTAATGTGATGCGTTCTGCTGCCTTCGGAAGCACACTATGCTAAAATGCTGCGATTCGTCGCACATGATGCCGCACACCGCGCCACATCACGCAGAGCCACATTCTCGTATGACATGCTGTCCTACGCCATGTGGTGCTTTGCTCCGTGTCTCGGGGTTTGTGTTCTAGGTCTTAACACCCTCCCTTTCTCTATACCAAACTTAGACCCCTGGCAAAAAAATAAAGCTTTAGCTGTTTCTTACGGATGAAAGGAACCAAAACTTAAACATTTGTCAATACCCCTAAGTTCTCCCCGGCCTGTATTGGCTGGGCCGGGAGCGGACCTGCCACGGGTGCTTTCACCGAGTCGGTGCGTAGTCATCAGAATTGCAAGGGTACTATTTTGGGGGTTCACTATTTTAGGATAATGGGCCGCAAAACCCTGAGGGGCCTTGATAGTTAGACTACGAAGTTATGATATGCTTTACAATCATTAAAAAAAGAGAGAATGTACAAGGAGGCGGAGGAGGATGAGGAGGGTGACAATGTCCAGATATCCCGACAATCACGACGGTGTTCCCTGTCTGACGGCATCTGGTAGAGGCACCCCTTGCCCAGAGAGCCCAATACCCCTTAATTAAGGAATATACCTTAAATCATGATATGAAGCTCTAAAAATTTTCAGCCATATTCCTTAATTGAGTGGTATTGGTATTGGGCTCTCTGGGTGACAGCAGGTGCGACCCCTGAAAGGATTGAACAACTAACCAAGAGCCTGCTTTGAAGCCCTGGAACCTCTCCCATAGAAGCCTCGAACCCGGAACCTCAAACCGAAAACAGTAAAACCTCAAGCCTACACCCCAAACAGAGAAAGCGCCTTTGCATAAGCCTTGTCGGGTCCCCTACAGAAAGCTGAGAGAACCTCACCCTCAAAGAACCGACGAGAAGTCTGAAAGAGCCCGAAACAACCCCGTTTAGGGGTTGAGGGTTTTGGGCTTTAGGGGTTTAGGGTTGAGGGTTTAGGGGTTGAGGGTTTAGGGTTTAGGGGTTGAGGGTTTAGGGGTTTAGTTTAGGGGTTTAGCTCGGGGACCTCCGGCTGAGGCGAGCTCTGGGATGGTCTCAGTCGCCTCCACCCTTGACACGGCGGGGCTGGGGCGGTCTGGGGGTTACCTTGGAGGCCTCATGGGTGGTTATAAGTGGGGCTATGGGGTTCCTTTAGTTCCTTTAAGGGGTTCTAGAGGGTTATAAGTGCGGCTATGGGGGTTCCTTTCAGGGGTTAGGGTTCGTTTAAGGAGTTCTAGAGGGTTTTGGGGTGGCTATAAGTGGGGTTATGGGGTTTCTTTAAGGGGTTCTAAGATTCTAGAGGGTTTAGGGGTGGTTATAAGTGGGGTTACAAGTCCCCTAATAGGAGTTATAACTACAGTTACCCTGCAGATAACTCTGCTTATAATTCCCCATGAACCTCCAAGTAAGGGTTTAAGGCTAAGGGATTGGGGGTTTAGGGGTTTAGGGCTTCGGGCTCTGGGACGTGGGGTGCAAAGGATCTGCGACGCAGGGCACTATCTGAAACGTAGGGTGCAGGGCTTGGGGTGGATTTGGGCTCAGGGTTTCAAGGGTGGGGGGTCGACAGCAGCACTGCTCTTGCCAGTACTGCTCAACGTCATGTTTTCTGCTTTTCGCTAAGAGAAGTGGCTGCTGCATCATCGTCTTTGAAGCTTTAAGTCTTATGCTGTTCAACACTTGCTGCCCAGGCACGCACCAACTTGCTCCTTGCCCTTGCGCAGAATACCCAGCAAATGTTTGCCAGCCTCGTGGTGATTTCCGGCTGACGTCCTGCTGGGCACGGACGCACACACATACATGCATACATACATACTTGCGGACGGAGGGAGGGACGGACGGAGGAATGGACAGACCGACAGACCGTGCGCGCAACTGCTCCAATTCTGGCGGCTTTCCGAGTTCTGCACTCTGAACCTACACTGCGACGTTCAATGTAGAGAAAAGGCCGGGCCACCACATGTCGCAATTCTAAGGATCCCTGATGCTCAAACAGGAAGTTTGAGCCTCAGGATTAGGGTCACCGATTGCAAGTTCGGGGTTTGGGGCTTGCATCCCGTGCTGGCTTGGGACTTTGCAGCTACACAACCCGAGTCCAAGACAACTCCCACATAGTACTCGCAGAAAAGGCACCCATCGTCATCTATCAGCTTGCGCCGCTGGAGTGGTAGCTCCTTGACCAGGGACCAGCTGGAGACTTACAGGAGCTCTTTAAAGGAACCCTGAATCCTCTTAGAACCCTTACAGGATCCCTTTTGAAAAAAACCCTAAATCCTTCGTAGAACCCTGAGGTTTAATATATAGGGGCCTTGATAATTCGAACAGGGTATTGGGGCCCATTCTACTACACTTATAATAAGGAGCCCCAAAATAGTAGAAGTAACTATATATTAAGGCCCCTATAAGCCCATAGTACTCGAAAGGGTTCCTGTCCCTAAACGCCCGCGGTGGGGCCTCAGGCTCTGGTTCGCTTTCCTGGAGGGCCGGGCTCCTGACAGGGAGAGCCGCCTTTTCAAACTTGGTTAGGGTTTAAAGTCTGTTCGTTGTGGGTTTAAAGCCTTTTGTCAGGGTTTAGGCTCTTTTTTGAGAGTGTAGGATCTATGCTTTAGAGTTTAGGGCTTCCGGTTGGGTTACAGGGCCTTGAAAATGGCTGTACCTATGGGTAGCTGCTCCCCCATTATAGCTACAGGGTAGCTGTACTGGGGGTTGCACAGGTGGCTTTGGTGTGGGATGGTATAGGGCTCCAGCGCTGCACAGCAGACCTCAGGAGTTGACGCTGCAGTGCTAGTATTCCCTTTGCTACCAGCGGGTGTAGTCATCACACTTTTTGAAGTGTGCTGGTGACGGTGATGGTGGTGATGACATGCTGATCAGGATGGTGATGATGATGATGATGACGATGGCGATGACGATGATGATGATGACAAAGATACAAGGATGACATTAATGAAAGGAAACAGTTCGGGGCTTAAGACCAGCAGCATGGCTACCATGCGCAAGATCAGAAGTTCGTCTTCCGGTCCAGCATCTTCTCCCCAAAATGTGTTTATCATCCTCCTCATGCCGGCCCCGGTCATCATGTCCGTCATCATGTCATCATCCTCTGCTGCATCACAGCCATGTCTCACGCGAGCAATATTGGCGTTCGTCATTGTAAGTTCTTGACGCCCGGAATCGTCCTTACGAATTGAGATTGCAGCTGTCCTCTTGGTCTTGCCCTCGTCTGGGCAGTCATTACAGGTTGCACTTGCAAGACCAAACTTAATCTACCATGAATGTTCACCCAAGTCCTAATTTGCTTTACATCTTCTTTCCCCACTACTGCTCCTATCGCTCTGCAACTATCTGCTTTTCCCCATGCTCGCACCGTGCGGCTTCCGACAGCGAGCCTCTCCCCTGTCCACTCGCTTTCCCAGCCAGCCTACATCGAGAGCTGTTGGAACGGAAGCAGAAACCAAAGGTAGAAAATGCGACGGGGGCAGAAATCATGGGGAGGGCATTAACGCTTGTCGCAGCAGAGTGGAGAAACTGGGGCAGGAGCTATAGCATCAGCAGCAGCAGCAGCAGAAGTAGCAGTGGGAGCAACAGTATCCGTAGCGACAAACATTGCCCTAGCAGTGGCAGTGGCAGCAGCAGCAGACTCGCAGTAGCAGCAACTAACGCCAGGAGTCTTTCGGCTCTGGTTTAGAGGTTTAGGGTTCAGGGGTTAAGCGTTTAGGGTTTAGGGTCGAAATCCAAATCGCAGACTTTTCGCGACACACCCGGCAGTGCCGACCATGCATCAAACTGCAGGCCATCTCAGGCTCGGGCTTTCTGATAGCTTTTCCCGAACCGCCTGACGCCACGTTAGACAGCTGCTGGAAAGTGCGTTCTTCTCTGTTTAGGGTTTACGGTTTAGGGCAGGCACACAGTGAGTTGCGACGATATTGACATTCAAGCCCTGCAACCGAACTTCCGCGAAGTGGGAGGGCTCGGCCGAGCCAGTCGACGTGGACATATCTCTGAGTTGGACTGAGACGACTATAGTAAACCATGATATACTATAGTATACGATAATCTACCATAGTATACTTTAAAAACCTGCGATAAACTCTAAGATACTATAGTCTGCCGGGCGCATTTCCAATTCTATTCTGCCAAGGCAGCTGCAATGCAAGACGAATCCTAAGTAAGTTCTCCAAAACCACAATCTTCAAGTTCCTGAACCCTTCCGCCACCTGCTTCCATCTCTCCAGGACGGATACTTCTCGTGAGAATCCTGGATGTGGTCTTTGTAGTCGTAGCGGTATCCAGATTCACCTCGCCACCCGTTGTAGGACCGTGGCTCCTGCAATGCAGGCTCGCGGTGAAGGCAGTCACAGGACATTTGTAGTAATTATGTTATAGTATGTTATAACATACCAGAATATACTGCAAAATACTATACTACAATATCATAAAGAAAACAATAACAAAAGTACAGCATACTAGAATATGCATCATTTACTATAACATAACATACTCTCAGCTACCCTGGGGCGGGGGGGGCAGAATAAGAATAAGTTACCATGGCCGAGACCATAGGCCGAAACGAGTAAGAGTCCCAAAATTAGAGGAACCCTTCAAGGAGACCTTACAAGGAACCCAAAAAGGAACCTCTATAGAAACCCCTACAGAAACCCTGAAAAACCCAGGAACCCTTAAAGGAACCCCTATAGAAACCCTTAAAGGCACCCCTAGAGAAACCCTTAAAGGAACCCTATGGAAACCCCTTAAAGGCACCCAAAAGGGTGGCTTCCAAGGGCCTCCACAGGATCCAAGGCGTTCCACTTGAAGGGTAGCTTCCTGCGGGATTAGGGTTTGGGGTTTAGGCTTTCTAGAGGTAAGGGTCAAGGGTTTAGGGTTTTGGGTTTAGAGTCAAGGGTTTAGGGTTTAGAGTTAAGGGATTAGGGTTTCGGGTTTAGAGTTGAGGGTTTCGGGTTTAGGGTTTAGAGTTAAGGGTTTAGGGTTTAGAGTTAAGGGATTAGGGTTAAGTGTTAAGGGATTAGGGTTTCGAGAGTTAAGGGCTTAGGGTTTAGGGTTCAGGGCCAAGGGTTAAGGGTTTAGGTAAGGGGTTTGATTCGGGTTTAGGGGTTTTCTGTTTTTGCAACGTGTGTTGGGCCTTTCACTCTGCAGAAGCGTCCAGCTTTAGAGTTTAGGATTCACAGGAAACCCTACTGTACTGTGAACGGTTATTATCGGGGTTACTATGAGCTTTGAGGGTGACTATAGGGCTCAGAGTCTACGTAGTATAAGCGTTACTATACCGTTTGGTTTGGGTTTGGTATTTAGTATAGGGCTTGCGGTTCAGGGTGTTAGGGCAAAAAAGGCTCAGTAACCCTAGACCCTACTCCATTGTATGGGGTGGGAATGTTGGGAATTGATAATCATGAACAGAAGAACACCCTAACACCAGTATCCCTGAATGGTCTCCATAAAGTCTCCAGGCCCGTGTGTAAACCTGATTGGATAGGCCGCAAAAGCGACAGCATGGATGACTCACAGTCACAGCATCGCTGTCGGATCTCTACCCTTGTTGCTATCACGAATACCGCGAACCCCCACCAGTCCTTCACCGCCTGAAATCAACATGCACTAGTGGGTAAGGATTTCGTGAATACGGCAGGCATTGTACTTGATGGCTGCACAGAACAAGCTTTGCAACAGAAGCCCTCGACCATAATGTAGGAGCCTGATTAAGAAACCCTGGGCCTGATAACCCCAAAATAGTGGGATTCACATAAGGAACCCTAACAAAGGCCCAAGGTTTCTTAACCAGGTTCCTACATTAAACCCCTCAATCCTCAATTCAACAGTGAAGCCGATTGTCGGAGAGCAGACTTCGAGTCGAAAAACACGGTAAACCGCTTGCCAAGCCGAACAAAACTGTACAAAAGGCCCTTCTTGGGGGTTCATGAGTCTATAGTTATAACTCCTATTAAAAGACTTATAACCCTACTTTTAACTACCCATGAACCTCCAAGTTGTGAAAAGAATTGCACCACCCTTGCAACACGCCTAAAAGCCCATGTTAGTTAGTATTACAAGGACTATAAGCCCCTAGAGTTTCAAGCCTTCCTGATAAAAGCCCAGCTCTTAACCGAGGCCGCCACGAAGAGTCCCGCGGATACCAGGTGATGCGGTCCTGGCTTCGACGTTTCTTGTGCCGAAATTGCGGCTTCTGGGTGAATTTTACGTTTTGGGGTTTAGAGTGTAAAGTTTAGGGGTCTAGGGTTTAGGATGGGTTGAGGTTCCGAGGTTACAGCTTAGGAACGTTTTGGGCTCAGGGTAGCTAAAGCCAGGCAGTTTGGGGGCTGGATCGACCGACTGTTGAGCTCCAAAGGAGATTCGTGGGATTCTCTTGCCGAAGAGCCCGCGAGCGACGGAGAGAGAGAGAGAGACAGAGGTAGAGAGAGATAGAGAGGTAGAGAGAGAGACAGAGAGAGAGAGCTGAGAGAGGGAGAGACAGAGGTTTCTAGGTCTGCGGCTCGGGGTGTATTGGCTTTGAAGACTGCAGTGCGCCAGGGTTTCGGAGTTTCGTGTTCAGGTCCTTGGGTCGCGGTGTCGGATTGGTTCGAGCATCTGTAGACAGGTGCTGCTGGACACTTGCGGATGTTTTGACCAGCTTGGTAGCATCATTGTAGGGTTCAGTCTAATCTCATGGTTCAGGATTTAGTCTAACCTGTTTACTAAGAACTGATCATGACATGCACATTACTTTGGAACACATCCTGCACGATTATCTTCTCGATGTTTATCGGCAGGTTCTGAAAAGGCTGGAAGACGCGTTTAGGGTTTAGATTTAGGGCTATCATGGACTACTACAACGTACATTTCGGCGGCTCCTGTCTGGCGTGAACGGCTGAAGGGTCAGAACCACCGTCAGAGCTTAAAAAGGGACGCTGTTCAGCCAAAGGAGCAAACAGTCCTAGCAGGCAGAAGCGCCCGCAGGAAAGCTTTCAATAAGAAGACCAAACTCTTGAAGCCCGCTTCCAGCGACTGAGGCAGGCGCGGGGTTTCCTTCAAACTTGGCGACATGGAAGAAGTAACCTCGTGCTCGAGGGTTCAGGGGAGGGGAGAAATTAGAAGACGAGTCATCATACTCATACTCAGAATCACCACAACACTAGAAGTTATGGGAATCATCAGGTGAAGTTATGGTAATCATCATCACTGCACCAACATGCAATAATAGGAGCTCGAATGCTAATGAGAATGATCAGCTCCAATCCAGACCATCCCCGACCGTCGAGGAAAGCCCCTCTGCCTAAGGAGTCCTGATTTATAGTAACCCTTATAGACCCTTTATATGAGTAAGAACCCTTGAAAGGGACCCTATACCCTGGGCGGCCCTCTGCCTAAGGAATGTCTCATGCTTGCCAGGCGGCTTCCGTTCCCCCACCACACGAGACCGCTCCCTGCAGGGAACAAGGGTTGAACGCTGGATCAAAGCCCGCGGAAAATCCGCCGGTTTAGGGTTTAGGGTTTGGGGTTTGGGGTTTAGGGTTTTAGGGCTTTAGGGTTTGGGGACATGGACAGGCGTAAGGAGCTTGAACTTGGCTTAGGACTTCGGGTCGAATGCTTTGGGGCTCAAGGGGTTAACGGTTAGGGCTTAATGTAGAGGCCTCAATAATTAGAATAGGGTTCCTTTCAGGGTTCCTTGTAAAGGGGTCTATAAGGGTTACTATAAGGGCTATTGTAAGGATGTAATATAGGGGCCTGAATAATTAAAATAGGGTTTCGGGGCCCATTATACAGCAACTATATGTTAAGGAACCCACAACATAGTCATAGTATAGGCAATTATTAAGGCCCCTATAGTAAGCTGATGTAGGACTGCAACGCGTGAAGATCTTCTCGTGATGTTTGTACT